TGGCTCAAGGGTTTGGGTCGCACGTTTCCAGGGGAAGGGGACCTGGATGAGGCTGGTAATTTAGGACATCTCTGCAGGTGACAGGGAAAGCGGTGGATGGAAATCACGTGGTGGCCTTGAGCGCAGCGTGGCAGCTTGCTTTTGCATCCTCTCCGTGGCCCGAGCCAAGCACGGGGTTATATCCAGAGCGGTGCGAAACCTTGTCTCCTCCCCCCAGGAAGGGGCAGAAATTGGTGGAGGTTTTGCCATGGGGCCACCACAGAGCAGCCCCGCGTGGGTCGGTGACGGTTGGGTGCCACCGAGAGAGCGTTGATGCAAGTGGACCAACATCATCCTGGGTGCGGACGTGGCCGTGGTCAGGGAGGTGACACCTTCCAGCCTGAAGCATCCTCTGGGATGCGGTGTCCTCCTTTGCGATGGCTCCGCTCGGTGCGGGAGATTTTAGGGAGGCCATCCCACTGGGAAAGCCAGCACCGGGGGGATGCCACATCCCACCCCACCAGGTCCTCACGAGGGCTTGACCCGGCCATGGCATCCCTAGAAGTTTTCCTTTCTCTCATGGCTTTGCCGGTCCTCCCTGTAGCAGAGAGCAAACCTGGCCATCCAAAGCAAAAAGCCTCCCCGATTCCTGCAACGCCGATGGGGGAGCCCAAAACCCCTTCAACAAATCTCTGATGGATTGAAAATAGCCACAATAGTAACAATCGGGAGGCAGGGCTGTTTTCCATTTAGTCCAAGCTCACTGCATGGTCCTCCAGGAGCTTAAAGAGGCCTTTAAAGTGAGGATGATGGCAATTGGCCCCTTTTATTGAGCCCATGAATTCAAGGCCAGGTGGGACCACCTCAATCATACAAGCATCCCTCCTGCTGAGGATGCAGAGGGATAAGGAGGTCCAGGATGGGACAAATCTCTGACCCTTTCACAGCTGAGGCCAGGTTGTGCTTCCCACCAAGCCCTGGGTGGCTCCACAGGGTCCTCATCCATCTCTTGGGGCCAGAAGGACCTCAAGTGTCCCTGCGGCATCCTTGGTAGGCTGCCCAAGTCAGGCCGTACCAGCGTGTGTCAGAGCAGAGAAGACAAGGTGGCCTGAGGACTCAGGGGACAGGTAAAGGTCTCTCAGCTTTCCGGAGGGACACATTTTGGGAAGCAGGCTCAAAGGAGGAGCAATAACGTTGGAGGGTAGAAGAGCTAAGCTGGGCACAGCAGGTCCCTGTGCTTTGAGGAGCAGAGGGTGGCCAGAGGGCACCTGTCCTCTGCCCCTCACCCTGGGCAGACCCTGCCTTTGTGCCAAGGAGGAGGTCCCTGCCCCATGAGATGGCTTCTCCAGAGGGTGCTGGGAAGTGTTGTAGCCTGAAGCTGACTTTGCCACGGAGCTGGCACATCCCTAGACACCAGTGACCTCCCAGACTGCATCCCATAGCTGCCCTGGAAGAGCTCCTCACATCATGGAGCAACACAGCCAGGTCAGCACAGAGCTAGCCACAAGGTCCCCACCACGAGAGGGGTCCTAAACTTCAACCCTTCTCAACAGCTCCTACAACACACCACATCATAACTTGGCAGCAATTAGTTGAATTTAAAAAAAACAGCATAAAACTCGGTACAAAACCAGGCTCCAGAGCTAGAACACACCGGTCCAACCTAGCTAAACAGGTCTTCAGCAGCTCCAAAGAAACCAAGGTCTGGTTTTCCCCAATCCAAGCAGATGTTGGGCATTAGAGGCTTTGGAAATTCAACCCCTTGTCTTCTGGATTGCTCAGAGCGAGCTCTGTGAGAGCACGTTACATGGAAGTGTCTTTCAAACCCGCCCAGACAAGTATGTGGTAGACATCAGGCTGGCAAATCATAAGCTCTAGGATGCTGGTGAAAGAAATAGTGAAAAAAAAATTAGCCATTGTGGTTGTTTACCTTGCACATAGTGATGCTCTTCCTCGTCTAGAGGTGAAGGCCAGGACATGGGGACAAGGCTGGGGACAGTCAGCCCTGCAGCCCCAAGCAGGGACTGCTGGCCCCAAGCCTAAACGGGCTCATGGGGGTCCCAGGAGGGGCTGCTCAGGGTCACTAAAGCCCATTAGTGCCCGCAGGGCCCTGGCACTTGTGATATTGGTGTGTTCTCCAGTGGAGACTCCAGGTAGGCTTTGGAAATGTCCATCCCCGCAACCATCTCCTCTGCTCGGGGCTTCGCCGCTGGGTTGGGGCGCAGGGCTGGATGTGCTCGCCGAGGGCAGCCGCGGACCCGATCCTGCTGCACCAGAGGCACCCGTGGAGCCAGAGACCCTTCACTGGGTGATGCCAGACCTGCTCCTTCCAGGTTGTTCTTGTGAGAGGAGCTGGGTGCCAGGACTTTGCAGGTCTGGAAGAAGCAGACGGGTCATAACCACCCTGGCAAAAACCTCTCCCAAAGCCACCAAAAGCCCTACGTGGGCACGAGGGCTTTCACCCAGGGATGATTCCTGCTCCAAAACCACTTGCCAGCTCCAGGTGCAGCCAGCTCCGGCTCACACAAGGCTTTTCTCCCAGGTTGTCCCTACTTCAGCAGAGATTTTGAGTCCCGGACTCAGCCTGGATTGCAGGATGCACTGGTGGGGGGCGGGAATGCTTCAGTGGGGGACCCCAGGTCAGCCCCGCTCCGCTGGCCCATCCGTGGGGGTGCGATGCAGGACCAGCCCCTGGTTCAAGCATCATCCCCGGCTCCCGGGAGCCGTTGCCACCTGAAGGCTGTCATTCCAGATGTCCGTTCGATTCGGGATGCTGTTTTACCAGTTCTCCGCTCCCACTCTCCCTCCCTCCTCCTTTCCCTTTTGTGTATATAATTATTCCCCAGCACTCCAAGACAGGGCTGTATTATGTGCGGGGAAAATGATTATTAAAATCTTTGATTGAAATTGCACACTGGAAGTAGAAATCAGGCAGGAGGCAGGCAGGGAAGGCGCTTCCGCCGAGAGCGCTTGCCACGCTGCCTGCCCTCCCACGCGCCTCCTGCCAGCCCCTGGCCTTTTCTTCCCCCCCCTCCGTGGGAATAAGGGTGATGCCACGGGGCGGGGGAGGGAAACCCAAAAGATATCCCAGGAGGTCTCAGCCACTGCAAGGTTTTTTGCTCCTTCCCAACCTTGGGGCAATCCCTTTGATTAGTTCTGAGGGTTGGAAACCATCCGTGGGGTATATTCAGAGGTGGGAAATAAAGATAAATATCTGTGCAAGTCTTCCTGTGGGCAATTCCCCCCAAAATCCCATGGAAAGGGTCCTGTCACTCCCACACACACACCCCCCCAACATGGGAGCAATGGGGTCCCACCAAGGGAAACAGCACCGAGGGGTCCCCTCCAAGTCTTCTGCAGGAGGGAAAATCCTCCCTGCATCCCGTATGATAATAAATACCTTAATAACGTTGTAATCAATAGGTGATTAGCTGGGAACGCTTGGGAAAGTTTACAGTGAGGAGGAAGCTCGTTATTATTCTAATAACAACACGGTTTTGAGATCTGCGTGATGATTTCCAACTATTTAGCGGGTGACGTTGTAGCAGATGATCCCAAGATCTCGTTTATAAGCATCGGTTCGCGGAAGAGAGGCCCCCTGTAACCCAGCTTCAGTTTGCGAGCTCCAATTAATCATTTATTCCTTATTAAATATTTACTCACCTTGCCTGTGCCGGGAAGTGGTTTGGGAGATGCAGGAAGGTCCCCGCTCTGGGAGTGTTTGGTCGGGGGGGGGCGGCTCTGCCGGAGGTCTTGGGGTGGCGGGAGGAATTGATGCTCAAGGCGACAGTGTCAAACACTTCTGGGTTGTTTTGGGAACATGGTCGGGGATATTTTTAATTTTTTTTGCGTGGGCTACGCAGTCCCCTTGCACATCTCCTCCGTGTCCCAGCTGGCGCAGGGCCCGACGGGTCGCATCCAGCCTGGGAAAGCAGCCGCGTAGCATGGGAAGATGCTTTGGACCCCAAAATCTGCTGCTGGAGGTCTGAAACACGTTTCTAAGGAAACATGAGGTCAGGGATGCACAAAAATGCCCGGCTGGGGATGAGATGTTTGGCTCTGGGTTGGGAAAACATCTCACAGGAGGGCGGCTGAGGGGGGACACACACACACAGGTCCCCCCATCGTTGAAGCAAAGACACCCCAGGCAGCGCAGTGCCCCGTCCCCCCGCTTTGATCTCCCCAGGACCCCTCCCCGCTTCGCCCAGCGGTACTCGCCCCGAGCTCCAACCTGCTTCGCCCCATCCTCTTCAAAGGCCGTGCCGGGATGAAGGGGCCGTTAGATCCCACCACTTTGATCCCGGCATCTTCCAACCCCTTCCCCGGCCTCGGGAATGAGCATCACCAATTAATTACCAGCCACGCAGCCCGTTCAGACGAAGCCTTTGAAGTCTTCTCTCGTCTTCCTGGCCTCATCCTTCCCTTCTCCAGCATCTTCTCGAGCTTCTGGGTGGTTTAGCTCCTCGATAGGGAACAGTACGGCCAAAACATGGACGCTGGAGCCACCGAGCCAGGAATCTCCGAGCTGCAATCGAGCCGATAACAAAAAAAAATCCCATTAAAAAACAGTGATGCTGCAGATGTTCAACATCTGCCTCAGCTGGGGAGGTAAACACTCGATTTGGGGCACCCAGGCTTTTCTCTGGAAAGCTCCTGGCTGCCAGCACTGTCCTTGGGTGCAGGGACAGTACGTGGGGCGAGCGGAGCTCCCAGCACTCCCAGTTGGGCTGAATGGTGGGAACTGGGGTATTTTTGGGGTGGGGGTGAACCAGTCGGTGCCCATTTATGCTCTGACTGCTCAAAGCTTGTCGCTTTGGTCCAGAGCTGAGCATCCCTTGGCCACCCAGCACCTGCTTTCAGGTCACTGGGGCACAGCAGGATGAGGCCCCTTGGTGCCACCACGCGCAAGGCGAAGGGGAATTATTTTTGCTTCCTATTTCCCCGCTGCTGAGTACCCTCGGATTGACCAGGGATGCTCTGCTCTCACCAAAAAGGTGAGGGAGGAAGGGGACACGTCACCTCTCGGTCACTCCCCACCCAATGGCACTTCCAGCACACATTGGGGACACCCCGACCCTCATTCCGTGTTCGTAGGGAGCCAGAGCCACCCCAGTTCCCGGGGGATGAGAGCATCACCGGGGGTCTCATCCTGAACCACCCCATCCCAGTGGGATGGGATCTGGTCCATCCATTCCTTCCTCCCCATCGCTCTCACCCCAGCTCCCCCTGCCAGCAGCGATGGCCTCGGCTAAAAATCTTTGACAACCTGCTTCAGGAAGGAGAAAAGAGGGGGGGGAAAGCCCAAATCCTACTTTACATTTAAATCCTCAGCGGGTGCCAAGTGTCACATAGGTATTTAACCCCCCCCTCCCCGCTGCTGCCACCACCACCCGTTTAAAATAGAAAAGCGCTCCTAAAAATAGCCCCGAGTGAGCCACCGCTGATGCGACGCTAATCCCTGTGTGCCGTGGCGAGGACCGGGATGGGGGATGAGGACCGGGATGGGGACGCACCCACCCAGCACAAAGCACAGCAGGTCACTTTAACGAGGATGAGGAGCAGCAGGGACCCAACTCGAAGCCCAGGGAAATGCTTGCCCTGAACCCGGTGTTGTAATCACCGAGCCTTCATGAAAACAGAGGTGATCTCATTTTAGCTGAGGCTTTCAGCAGAATCATTTGCTGCCTTATTAAAAAATAATAATAGCCGGGTGTTTCCCAGGAACTGCTCTTTTCCTGCCCTTTCTCCTAATTCTTTCTTGTCAGTGAGAAAGAAGAGGTCACATCATCTTTTTTCTTTTTTTTTTTTCTGTTTTCCTCGAGTTTCACCCTTTCTCCCCCAAAGAAAAGAGGGGGGAAAAAAAAAAAAGAAAGAAAAAAAAGAAATCTCATGCATTGGGAACAGAAGCAAGTGCCTTTTCTAATTTCAAGACTTTGTTGCGGATGCTGGTGTGGATGCTCCCAGCTTGTTCCCAGTACCCTTCAAAGCCAAAGCTTAGAGGATGGATGGGTCCCTGCCTGTCCTCTCTGGAGGTCTTGCGTGGGCGAGGAGGCAGGAAAAATAAGTTAGAGATCATGGGTGAGGAGCTTAGGTAAAGCCCGTTGCCTTCTGCTGCCTGGGATGAGAAGCACTTAGCTCACAGCATTTCCCTGCTTTGGGGGCCCAAAGTCCCTCCAGGTGACAGTGCCGTGATGTAGGTCCAAGGTCCACCCCACAGGTAGGGCCAGGGATGGGCTTCAACGTACCTTCAAGAGATCCATCCAGGAGAGAAGCCACTCACGGGGCTAGGGACAGGTCAAGAGGGGACTTCCAGCCCTGGGCTGAGCTTATATGGGCTCCTGGGCCATGGGCAGGGGGGGTGGGGGGTCCCAGGTGGGGCTATTTGGGGCCATTAAGATGTATTAGTGCCCATCACCATGTGCTCAGGTCTGATGGTGGGAGCGCTCCTCTCATCTCAAACCTAAACTTCATCCAGGCTCCTCTGCACCCTTTTTTTCTCTGGAAAGGTGTTTTTTGGTGTCTTTTATTGCCAACATGTCCCACACGCTCCCAGGCAGCAATCCCCCAGCTCTTCAACCTACATTTTCTTGGTGACACCAAGCAGGTCCCATCTCAACAAGGGTCTCCCCATTCCCGGGGGCTCCCCGATTGCTCTGCTCCACGTTTCCAGCTGGTAGCAAAGCACACATCCAGCCCCATCACGCTCACCCGAACCATGTCGCACCCCTGTGCCCCCTGGGGTTGTGTGTCGTCCCCCCATGGAGGTGATGCTATTTTATCCACCAGAGATGCTCATCCAAGTTGTCCCCAGGTTGTCACGCAGTTTTTGGTGGCCTGAGAAATGGTCCTCGCTGCAGCCTGGAGATGTCCCGCAGAGACCTGCAGCTGATTTAAAAGAGGCAGGTTCTGCCTACCTACAGCTGGATCCCTCCCCAAAAAGCAAATGGGGGGTCGGGGTCCCCCATGCTCGGCGCCGTCTCCTCGGGAGCTTGGCAGAGTGGGAGAGCTGCATGGGCAGGGTTGTCGAACAAGTGAAATTTGGAGCTCGAATATGGGAATTTTATTAAAATTAGGTCAGCGGAGTGTAACGGAGCCGTTTTGGCTGCTGGCAGCATAATCATCCCCCCGGGCTCCCGGTTTCGGATGCCCAGACATATTAAATTACCCTTAACTCTGCCCACGCGTCCTCATCCACCACGAGGGCTTTGCGAGGAGCCTGCCCCGCTGAGCCGTGCTTTACGGTGCGTTTCTAGTGATTTATGGTGCTGACCCAAACCCCCCCGCACGTCGCCAGACGCAGAGACGGAGGACAACCTGGCACCGTGACGGCAGCCTTGGGGTGCCCGCTCTTGGCTACCCGACACGATGGGATGGGGTGTCTGAGCCCAAGGACTCGGTTTCCCCCAACAAAAGTGCTCGGAAAAATGGAGTTATGGGAGAACAGCAGCATAAAAACGATGGAGGGATGTGCCGTGATTAATTATCCTTGGTGGATGAGGAGGTCCAACACCCGTTGATGAACCGTGGCACCAGCAGAGATATGGTAGGGCTTTTCGGTGGCATGAGACGGAAATAAAACATGTCTGGCAAGATGTTGCCAGTTGATTTGTCTTCCCTCCCTTATTTTGGGAAATTTGTGGCCGATTTCCACCAAGAAAGGACGTGTGGAAAAAGATGAGGAGGTTCCCCTCAGCACCCCCCTGTCTGCCGCTGCCCACCTCCTGCTTGGCAGCGCTGGGACCGGCCAGGCCCTCTGCCAGCTCCCCCGGAGAAGGGGAAGGGGGGGGAAGACAAACCCTGCCAAAAATATACACTTCGAATTGCTGCCGAGTTGAATTTTCACGTCGTACTCTGCCTCCCACGCAAAATAAAGCCACGCACACCCCCGCACGCGCACACACACACACGCAGAAACACCAGCCAAGAAACACCACAATGCTCCCGGAGACGCAGTGACGGCTCCAGCCAGATGCCACCACAACTGGTGCTTGGGTGGGATCGGGGAGCCCCCGGGCAGGATTAGTGCTGCGCTCGGTGCTGGGCAACCCTTGAGCTGGATGGGGTTAAAGATTTGAAGGTGGGCGATGACCCCTCTTGCAGTTGAAGGTCATTAGATGGAGACCACGGTCCATGGGGAGGAAGGTCTTCTCCTTCCAGCCCTGCCCATCGGCAAGGTCGTTCCATGCCCACAGCTCCCCACCTTCCCGTGATGCTCTCTCTGTTGTCACACGACCCTGGGAATGTTTTCCACCTCCTGCCTCAGTTTCCCCACCCGTGGAGCTGCTTTTTCCGTGGGGAAGAGGTGGCAGTTGCTGGTGGCTCCCCATGGTCAAGTGTGAGGGACCAAGGAGGGACCGTACGTGAGGGGATATGGGGTGACACTCAGGGTACCAGGCAGACCCCAGGGCCATCCTGCCGCACTGAGCACCCAGGGGCACCCCAGGCTTCACTGCCTGCTCAGGGCCCATGGGTGCTGTGCTGCTGGGTGGGCTTCGGTCCCTGCCAAGGGGGTCCTGGAGCAGCTCCGCAGTTGGGCTGAGACCTCCCAACTCATCACATTGGTGATGCAGGGTAGGGGGGAAACCAGCAGAGCATTAGGAACGTGGCGTTATCACAGAGCGAAAAACGGGATGATCCCGTCCGGCGGCTCCTCTCTGCCCGTCCGTCCGTCCGTCTGTCTGCAGGTGGTGAGCCAGATCGACCGACTGACGTCCGACTTTGAGTTCGAGCTGGAGCCGGACGACTGGACCACGGCGACGGCCAGCAGCACCTCCAGCAGCGAGAAGGGGGGAGGCGCCTTCGAGCTGGGACCCCTCGATTTCGCCGCATCTGACATCCTCTCCGACAGCTGGGAGTTCTGCTCCTTCCTGGATGCTTCCACCCCCTCCGACCCGGGCGACGGTCCCG